TAGGGGAAACCACTCAAACTTACAGATGGTCGCGGTTTATATATCAAATCTTGCTCGCAAACACTGCTGTTTAAAGTTAATTTCTGGCTAATATTGATATATCTAGCCATTGATTTTGGTTTAGTATTCAGTTACCTATAATATAGGCCTACTTCGAAAGGGCTGGTAAGTACGTCACCAACCAGTTCTATGGCTCATGCAGTGTTTATTGAGCCGTAGAACTGGTTGGTGACCTACTTACCAGCCCTATAAGGGTAGCGGGACTATGCGCCGCCGTACCAAATAGCATCCTGTTAACAATGATGCAGATTGTGATGCAGATTGCGTCATGCACTAAAGTGACACGAATGAATATGATTTTTCTATAACACGTAAACAAATTATTTGACGTTGTAAACAGTGTAACTGATGCAATATGTTAGCGTTACTAATGGTCGATTATTATTATTATTATTATTATTATTATTATTGTTATTATTATTATTGTTACTATTCTTATTATTCTTATTATGATTTTTTAATGATTAATATATATTATATAACGAGCCGACCCGCGGCGTATCATATGCCGCTATTTAGTTGTTTTATTTTCTACTTTTAAGTCATTCATAATTTGTTAATTCGACCGTACCAATACTGCCACTGAAAATATTTCCTTTATAACACTATCAGTAGGTCGTTAAGGACGATAACCCCCCCCCCCCCACCCCCCTCCTTTCCCCAAAGGGTATCCAAGAAGTGAATTATATATATATATATATATATATATATATATATATATATATATATATATATATATATATATATATATATATATATATATATATATGTATATATATATATAGATTGGGTAATCTATCGTTTTAAGTACGTAAAATCGCCCGCGACTAGTAATGTGAAAAACAGGAGACCCCTTAAATTTTAATAATTATTCCATATTTTGAGTAGGATTTATGTTTTGAAAAATACAAAAATGTTTCCTTGTTTCATTTATGTACCTGTTTTTAAACGACTGAATTAAAACTTTTCAGTAATAAATGAAGACTAGCAATGTCTCCAACAGATGCAACCATGCTCATTTACTATAGCAGCCAGCTTGTTATTTTTATAGCAAACTCATAGCGCAAAATTCAGGGGAAGCCACTCTAACTTACAGATGGCCTCTTTTTATATAGTAAATCCTGCTAGCAAACACTGCTGTTTAAAATTAATTTCTTGACTATATTGATATATTTAGCTATTGATTTAGGTTTATTATTCATTTATCTATATTATTTGACACAATATATCACAATAATATACTTCTATCAAAGCCTTGACAATGAGGTAACGTATCGTACATTACTAGCCGTTGGCGATTTTACGTACCTAAAACGATATAATTGCATATATAGATCTTATATATAAATAATTAATACTTAAAATTACTGTCGTTAAATATTTAATATGTACCTTAGCCATGACGATCTCTTACGCTGATAGTTTTGTTGTGGATTAAAACTAAATCGAGATCTTGATCCCAGATCTACTAATAAACAATACACAGATATTATTATCTTAACTAATGTTATGTGTACACACCCTACCCTTTCAGTAACACGTAGGCTATCTGTCTCGATAAATGATAAGTGCTGCTGTAGTATATTGTGTAGATCTGCTTAATGATCAACACTTTTTTTCACCGTCTAAATTGAATTCTCAACACACACTTCGTCTGATGCAATGATTGATACATGTGTCTACAGCAGCACATCACTGACCTAGGTGACAATGGTCGATCATAAGACTACTAGGGTAGTATGGGGGTCGTCCATAAATGACGTCACACTCGTAGGGGGTAGGGGGGTCCGTAGTTTTTTGACGGTGTGTGATGAGGTTGGCGGGGGGGGGGGGGGGGGGTCAGATGGTGGGACGTCACATTTTTTGTGTGCAAAAAAAACGTAATGTTAGAAAACAAATTTTAGCCGTTATTTCGCGTTTTAAAAAACTGTTTTAATAAATTGTAATAGGAATTGATTAAAACACTCTATGTTGAGAGAGTTTAGGCAAGATTTTGAAAAAAAATATAGATGTTTTAAGAAAAATTCAACTGCAATTTTGAGAAGGGTTGTAGGCTGAGGTGTGACGTCATTTTAGAGGGGAGGGGTCTGGCTTTTTGTCACGATGTGTGACGGAGGGGAGAGGGGGGGGGGGTAACAATCATCAAAAAAAGCGTGACTTCATTTATGGATGACCCCTATGTTATTGTTAACGTAGGTGGACTTGTAATTCTACAAGATTTCTTTCCATGTATTAAAACCTCAAGCTATCTATTGTTTAACAGTAATGCAATACATTTCATTACCTATTCTGTTTTATTATATTTGTTCGATTCAACAACTTTCAATAACGGAAATAGCTATAACAACAAAACAAAGACAAAAAGTGGTGTGATATCTTTTGAATGTCGGAGGGCGACGGAGGTTCCGTGATTATGCGATGAGGAGGAGTGGGTCGGGTCTCAGATAGCGTTACGTCATACTTCTGCCGTTATTTCGCATTTTGGACAGCTGTTTTAATACATTGGGAAAGAAATGCATTCAAGTACTCTATTTTGACCAAGCTCAGTCAATATTTTAGAAAAAAATCTGTTTAGAAAAAAAAAACTAGGAATATGGGGGTGGGGGAGAATTTGTAGGCTGAGGTGTGACGGTGGGGGTGGGGGGGGGGGTAAAATCGTCAAAGGCCGTGAAGTTGATTATTCAAGACCCCTATAGATCTAGTATACTTCCAGTTGTAATTGATACTTAGTGCGATCATGTCTTTAATATCCCCTTAGAGGCCGTCCATAAACGACGTCACACTCAAAAGAAGAAGGGCGGAGCTTCGGAACTTTGCAGCGATATGTGAGGAGGGGAGGGTGGAGAAAGTTTGATGGGACTCTGGTGCGTTGTTTTTAAAAGTAATGTTAGAAACTGACTTCTAGGGGGTTATTTCATGTTTTTAAATGTAATGTTAAAAACTGACTTTTATGGGTTATTTCATGTTTTTTAAAGTAAGTTTAGAAACTGACTTCTAGGGGGTTATTTCATGTTTTTATAAGGCTGAGTTCGTAAATTGCAAAAGAAATCGACTTTATACTCAGTGTTGATCAATGTAGAAATTATTTTAGAAACAATTGTATTGCATTATATTGCATATTATATTTTGGATTATATTTTAAATATAATGACGTGTAGCATTTGGGATACATTTGTATCGGTATATTAAATAATAATTACACGTAGGCTAAATTGGACGTCAAAAGATATTTCACAAGGGCATTAGCTGTGATGAAAAGGGAAAACCCCGAACTCCATCTAAATAAAGCATGTATTAGCAAGTAAAAAAACACTTCACTAATTTTCCTGAAAAATATTTGAGCTGGTAGAAAACTTGGAAAAGAGACAGCATCAGCTAGCGCCAGTTGCTGTATTAACAGATAGCATATCACTATGGAGAAAAGAATTAAGAAACAGAAAGTTGTTTTATATGTTTTACTAAATTAGAGTATTGAGTAACACTATAATAAGTGTTTAAATAATTATTGTATTTTACGTATGCCAGTTAAACAATATTCAAGAGATAAGAAAATAAAATCGGGTAAACATAGACATTTTACTACAGTTTAGGTCGTAATTGAGTTCATGTTATGTTATACGGCAGTTTCTTTGACAAACTATCTGACTCACTCACTCACTCACTCACTCACTCACTCACTCACTCACTCACTCACTCACTCACTCACTCACTCACTCACTCACTCACTCACTCACTCACTCACTCACTCACTCACTCACTCACTCACTCACTCACCCACTCACCCACTCACCCACTCACCCACTCACCCACTCACCCACTCACTCACTCACTCAGATACATTCTCTAGAATATTGCTCACATTTATTACTAAAAGAACTATAGGTAAATTATTACTATTAAAAGCGCATATATATATATATATATATATATATACAAACATAATAAGTAAAATCTACGTTGAAATATAACAGCATAGTATTCAGTTTAAAAAAAAGTTTACATTGCGCATGCTTACAGTTTTCAAGATATAACTCATTTCATGGAAACAAAATACGTAATATAGGGTTTTTCCGGAATAACGATTGAATAACGAAGGCAGCATCCCAATGTTGAGCGATAACAGTATACAGAACATGCATACGCTTCGATTGCAGCTATATATAATATATCTGACTGTGTTTAAAACCCTTTTATTATAGATATGTTTTTCTGTGGTTGAAACGAATCAAGGTAAAATTTGTATTGGGTTCGGTGTGTGTGATTCGCCCATTTGTTTTTCTGGTTTCTAGAGCTCCTGTTGTGTCTGGTTTTACCATAGTGTATTTTTTAGCGCAATTTCCTTACAAGAATTCTGATTATTAACCCGTCATTTCTGGATGGATGTGTGTCCGGATGGATGTGTGTCCGCAGCTTTAAGTCGTATCTCCTCCTCAACGAAGCAATATCGAGGACTAGTTCCAAAAGCAAATATGTTAAGCAAGTTCCGAGGATGATTGTGGGCCAAAAACATTCCCGGAATTCCTTCCTGGATTTCCAGGAAAAACAAAAAAAACTCAAAAAAATGCAGTTTTTGGCCCATATCTCGGCAACCAGACCACTTAGCGACTTGAAACATTTACCAATCGATTCCCGCCATAATTTAGAACAATATTGCCGAATAAGTTTTCAAAAATATCCTTTCGTTCGGTCACAAAGAAATTAATTAAGGAAATTGCGCTTAAATTGTTACTAGACTTTTTATTAACTTGTTTGTATTTATACTTGCAGTGGTTTACTAAATATTTTTTTATTCATTCTAAATCCTCTGCTTTTTAATATATATATATATATATATATATGTCTTTGTTAGCAGCATGCATGTTGTCTTTTATTTTTCTTCTTATGTGTTTATTATATTCCAGGCCATGTCTAATATATTGTTTTTTACAATTCAGGACACTTTACGCGTATACACAAAAATGTAAGAGAATGAAAGAAAGGAAGATAGCAATCGATCTAGCTCTTATTGGGAAAACCGGCGTTGGTAAAAGTGCGTCTGGGAACTCCATTCTAGGGAGGAAAAATATTTTTGAAACAAGCGACAATTGTTCAACCTGCACAACTTGGACACTTCCTAAATCCGGAGAGCGAGGGAAATGGAGAGTCAAAGTAGTCGATACCCCAGGCTTTAACGATACAGATCCGAATCAAGAACTCGATACCTTTTCACGACAGCTGCCTAATATCATGGTCACAAGTCCATTAGGGTTCCACGCCCTTCTTTTTGTTATCGCCTACGGCTGTAGATTTACAGCAGAGGATAGGGAAACCGTGAGGAAACTAAAAATGTGTTTTGGTGAAAACTTTATGAAAGATCACTGCATTATCATTATGACCCATGGCGACAAGTTTGAAGAAAATCAACGAAATTCAAAAGAGCCGTTAACATTTGAAATGTGGCGGGAACGACAAAAACGAGAAGTGCAACATCTCTTTCATGAATGTGGAAATCGAGTTGTTTTGTTCTACAATACAGAAGGCGAGTATACCGAGAAAAGAGAAGCAGCAGTGAATGAAGTTCTAGAAATGGCTTTTCAATTGAGCAAAAACAAGCGCTACTGCAACGCAGATTTTAAAAAATGTCAAGTCGAAAGAAAAAAAATAATTGCTGACCTGCGTTTATCTCAAGTTACATATGAATTCGAGCGCAATGTCGAACGATTGCAGTCAGATTTGAAGGATTTCATTCATTCTGAAAGGATGACTTGGGGAGATTTACGACTTCTGAAGAAGAGGTGCAACAAGCTACTAAGAGGGATACGTAAGCACACAGACAAAAGTTTACAACTTCAACGAATGGAGGAAAAAATATTACAATTAAAAAAAGAGCTCAGAAAAATTAAAATCAAACATCCTTTTGTGGAAAAGCTTAGAGAGATCATAGATATGGTCCAAGGTTTTTGTCTGGCTGTTTTTAAAGTATATGCTTCCATGCTTTTGATAACTATTAAAAATCTACCCTGCTATCAATATCAAAGTGATTATCAGACGGAGTCGTAATCTGCATATGTGGCATTACAAACCCGACACATAGATCGCTAAATTATGTATTGAATACCTTAACTAAGAATTTGATAAGTGACCTAATCTTCTCTTTTTAGTCATTTAAATTGTGGTGCATTGTTAGATATTAAAAGAAATGCATGTTTTCTTCTTTTTATAGCACAGTCATATGAAAGCTTGTAATTAAAACATTTTGATTAGGTCTTTCCCTTTTATTTATGATGCTGTGAACTTTAATTTGAGTAGTAAGGATAGGTGGCGGTGATTATCTATAGCAGGGGTCTCCAAACTACGGCACGTGGGCCGGATGCGGCCCGCGAGGTCCTCTCATCCGGCCCGCGGAGATCTTTTTGTCCAGGAAAAAAACGTTTGTTGGTAATGGCTGAGGAACTTGGCCCAGAAAAATCAAAGACATGCCTGGAAGAAACTGGCCCCCGAACTGAAATTTGATAGTTAATGTGGCCCTCGGACTGAAAAGTTTGGAGACCCCTGATCTATAGTCTGCTAATAATACAGTTGGATGTAGAATTGTTGTCTCTATAGTTAGCACGTTGTGAAAATTGTAGATTTTCGCTTGAAAGACTGTTTAACTTTAATTAATCATTAATTAAACTGGCAAAAAGTATTTTTCTTCTTTACATTTTGCCATTTTTTTTGCCTTGGTGTCACCCCCCCCTTAAATGGTGTCACGCAGTGCGGTCCGCAACCCCCGCCCAGCCCCGCCCTCGCTACGCCTCTGCTAAGGATATCCTTGTATTGATAATAGGAAATCATATATCCTACTGGATTTATAAGACAGGCAAATGTAGTTCATGATGCTGTTGATTTTCTTTTTTTTTAACTAAGGACAGTCTAACTTCTATTTTAGTTGACATTGGTGTACTTTTCGTCTGTTTTAATTCATATTAATATATTACGGTATTTATATTAACGAGCTGACCCGCGACGTAGTATACGCCGCCATCTAGTTGTTCTATTTTCTGCTTATCAGCAATTCATATTTGTGAATTCAACACTACCCCCTCCCGCCCTGCATTCCCCCCCCCCCTCCTCCCGTCCAGTGAAAGCAGCCATTTACATTTACAGACAAAGAAAAGATCAATCAGAAATGGTTACCTCCCCTTCGATTCAAATCGTTTAATACTAAATTATCTGCCCCTAATAGCCGTAACTAACCCGGCTCTACGATTGTAAACATTCGGAGTGGGCCACAGCTCACCTGACAGGTGGGGATGAAGGTGATGGCTAAGCTGCGTGGTGTTTTTTAATGTCTCTACGAAGAGAATTATATATATATATATAGAATATACACGTAATTTTCAACAGTTGGCACAATGGCATATTATTTGCGTTGACTATTTGTAACTAAGTTAAATTCGTTTTAACACATATAACTAAATAACATGAAATTTAAAAAAAAAAATTATGGAATTAATATTTGCCAAGTTAGAATATGTAGTGAAATAGTACAATCAAAATGAAAAACCATCATGTAAATTTGTGAAGTAATTTTCGAGGTATAATATAATAGTTTTAATAATTTAGGCCTATTTTAGTTTTATATCGTATTAGCGCCCAAGTATCAAAAGTATTTCTTTGGGAGAAAGTTGTTTTTAGGTTTGGAAAACTAAGACACTGATTCCGTTTTGTATTCAAAATATAAAAAGGAAGATAAGATTACATAAAAAGTTCATTTGAATTTTTATTTTACTCTACACAAATGCCTTTTAATTATTTTTTTAGTTTTTTCGCGAGTAAAATTCTAATGCATGATGCCCTGTATATTTTGTACCACGCAAATTATCACCAATCATTGTTTACACTATGACAACCTATGTTTTTATTAGTAAAACAATAGACTGGGCTTCATCACGTAAGGAACAACTTTCAAAAGGCCTCTCTCTCTCTCTCTCTCTCTCTCTCTCTCTCTCTATATATATATATATATATATATATATATATGTATATATATATATATATATATATATATATATATGCGTATATATATATATATATATATATATATATATATATATATATATATATATATATATATATATATATATATATATGTGTGTGTGTGTGTGTATATATTTAAATATATGCAGAACGGTTCACGAGTTAATGCTTCACGAAGAATCGCAATTCGTAAATGGGAGGAAAGGCATTAGTACAACGGCAACATTTTAAGAAACGTTTACTGGTGATTGTTCCACAGACTGCTATTCCCATCTAGCCCAGAGCGTAATAACTTCTATATGAAGCTATGGATTATTTCGTCTTTTTGCAATACGCTTAGTACGAAATATATTTTTTTACTGGTTTCCTTAATGCTGAAATCTTGAAGATGTAGTTTTCATCATTTTGTAATGAGGTTAAATTCGTGTGAAATCTACTTCGTCTACTTTGCTGATCCTATCGTCAGAAAGGTTATCTTTAGTTATTGGTAGCAAAGTATCTTTAGTAGGTAAGATTGTCTTGTATTGTAGTTAACCATTTATATAGAAGAAAATATTGAATATGTTTAATTGTATACTGTTTATTTTTTATTCTTTTATGTAGATTAAACCTGTAATAACGTAGATGTAGGGAACTAAATAACTATATGTTTTAAAAGGTTTACATTTTCATGTAATCAATAAATGCCGATCTGTTTCTTTCAGACTTTTGTCTCGGGGGAGGGGGGGGGACAGGCACTGGTAATATTTTCTATATGAATTACAGTGCGTCTGCAGGGGAGGTAAACGTTGTTCTTTTCTTTTTTTTTTTTTTTTTTTTTTTTTTTTTTTTTTTTTTTGAGGGAAGAAGGCTTACAATTCTCAAAAAAACCATTTTCCTCCGGCAAATTTTGCAACGTTCAATTGATGCTTGTCGGGATATGTCAATATTGCTCTCCATTGAAAGACTTTTTAATTCTAATAATTAACAAGTTACTTAACTGCTGTGATTGTTTTTTTTTCCAATATATATTTTACTATTTTTGCTTTTGTGTCACCCCTTTGAATAGTGTCACTCGGTGTTTTCTAACACTGAGTTATTTAAACGTGAACAATGCCTGCGCTGTTTTATTTTTTTTTTTTTGATTGCATTTGTGGGGGCACAGGTTTGCCTACACTACCGCCCAGCACATGAAAGCCTTGAGTGTACGTTAATCACTCTCCGTAATACTGAAGTAGAACACACTTGGGCGACCGTAAAGGTGTCAGGGACGAAAAAGGGGGCTCCCGGGAGCCCCCAATTACAATTACGCAGTGGCGCCGCGTACGGCTTTTGGCTATGTGCAATCATCGAATGTTCTGTGCCACCGTGTCAATATTGTAAGGTGTTCCTTATAACTATCCTAGGGTGCCATAGAGCTAAATGGATAGCACAGGGCGCCAAATCACTTCTCGTCGGTGTGCCAACGGACGCGCCTGATTTCTTCATTTACTTAACAACTATAATACCCCAATCTTATCCACAGTTTAACGCACTGTATAAAACAAACATAGCGCTTATGGCATAGCCCGGGGTGCAAAATTACACCCTGCCGGGGCGCCAGTAAACGCGCCTAAATCAAATGAGTGAACAACTATAACGCCCCATCTTATCCATAGTCTATCGCACTTAAGCGACATAGCGTTAACTGGATAGCCAAATTGTACCATGCCTGGGCGCTGCTCGTGCGAAATTGAAATTATTTTTTTAGCAGAAATTTCCTTTTTTTATTCTCATCTTCTCGGTGAACGGTGTCAAACCGCAATCGACTAATAGTTCTTATATACCATACACAAAGAAGAATCGAATCGCGCTCTAACAGGGCGCCATCCCTGCAAATTATTTATTTTTGCATACCCCCCCCAAATCTCCAGGAGTATTCCCAACAATTTCCTAAAGTTCCATGGCGATCGAATGAAATGTGTAGTAATGCATAAAAGACAAACACATAAACAGACACACACACACACGCACATACATTGCTTTATGTACGCATGTATACAGTGGCTTAGCGAGGTCGGGTGTCAACCGGTGCGGCACTTAATGGTGTCACCCCCCAGAGGCATAGCCACCCTTCGCGGGGCAAACTTTCGATTTGCACCCCCCCCCCCCTTCCCTCTCAAACTTTCGATTTGCACCCCCACCCCCTCAAATTTCGACTATCTCACACTCGAATTAATCACTTAATTAAGTATTATTATCATTTTTCTCTAAATTTTTTTGCTATTTTTTGCCTTGGTGTCACCCCTCTAAATGGTGTCACCCGGTGCGGTCCGCACCCCGCCCCCCCCCCCTCGCTACGCCTCTGCATGTATATAGATAGATGTGTCGAGGTCAGAAAACCGGGTGGATTCTGTTTAATTTGCATGTAAATCGATACATTACTTTTACATAACATCACCTGAGGTGTATTCGCCTACCCTTGTTAGCGTTTTGTTCATTTTGCCTTTGTGTTCAATCAACGTGCCTTTAATTTTATAAAACAATCCAACTTAATTAGAATCGTTTACAATTAATTATTTTGTTTAAATTATTCAAATTTTGCTTTTAGTTGAGGCCTAAGCTGTAAGTCTCAAAATAAAAATGCTTTTTTTTATACATTGACCTAAAAATATATATTCATTTTGTTATCCTGATTAAAAAGTAAATAACTTTTTGTGTTATTTTCTTCCTATAAGTTAAATATAAAAGCTTTAATATAACATGCACTTTGTATATTTTAATGAATAATTTATTTATGTGATGGTCCATTGCGCAGTTTGAAAAATTCAATTTGTTTATTGACTTATGAAGAGACCGTGTTTTGCATTAGTGTATCCAGACAATGTTGGAATCTCACATCTATAAGAGCTCGTAGAAAAGAGATAAGGCACCAGTATCACGTCTCATGGAATGAACATGTAGAAGTCAGAAAAATGAATGTACAGATATTCAAACATACTTCGGGAAGAGGGGGGGGGTGATGTTCTTTATCTGTAGAATATACGCTGGCTAAGCAGAGACTCATGAGTAGATTAACTGGACTCGAGGTCGTCTGTCCCCCCCCCCCCCCCCCCGCAAGTCTGCGATGATATTTTTTTCTTTTGGGGTGGGGGGAGAAGCAAAAGTCTGACAGAAATCCAGATGTTTAGAAGCTTGCAACATGAGTAAAAGAAAATCTGGATTCCTCATTTTTTTTTACATTAAAGGGGATTAGGATGGACAAATTATGTATTACAAATAGTTCTACCATTATTTCTATACATAACACATGCAGGATTTTGTGCTACATTAAGATGAGGTAAGCAGCTAC